TGAACACATTTAGAAGTTTAGGAGGCAGTGAATTGAGGAGGGGTATGGGTGTAAGCATCTACTCGTGGCGGGAAGGATGTTAACTTACCATGGTAACATCATCGATTTTTGAGATACTGCGAACGAATATGTTGACCCGGACGACCGCAGGGCCATCTGAGGGACGCAAAAATGTACGAAAGGTGATAAACTATCTGAGCAAAACCTGTCATCGTAGCATGCTAGAGGCAGCACTCCTGAATATTGTATATCTTACAAGCATTGCAATACCCATTCCTCAATAAAAATAGACAAAGCTGAAAGCGAATAATTGGTTAGAGCTGTTGCACAATGTGGTTGTTTAGTGTAATGAATGAAATTGTATTGTAAATTATAAATAACATTTGTTGCAGACTAGACTGCCGAGCAAAACTTTCTGACTATTGCGGTAAGTATTCGTGTACTTATTGTAACTGTCTCTTGAGAATGTATAAACCACTAAAATAAAGTGGTATAACTTAGAAATAAAAATTGCTTTAAAATTTCTAGTTTAATCAACACCCTTGAATGCAGTTGGTCAAGAAAAGCAGTCTAAAATAATAATAAAAGCACTACAGAAATAAATTACAGAAATCAATCAGTTTTACTGTATTAATCTTAAATAAAAAAAAGTTTGTGGACTAGATTGTTTGGAGATACAACACTTGCAGTAAGGTTATATTCACAATCGCCAAATAAAATGGAATATTCAGGAGCTAAATACTTCTGCCACTTGAGTATTGGTATTGCAAACAAAATTTTAAATTTTACTTTTCTTAATATTAGTACGAGTAATTACAGTTATTTACTTGATAAAAAAGTTATATTTTCAAAACATAATAATTAAAGTGACTAGGCTGTGCTAAAAATACCGCTTTTGGTTATTGCACAACAATATTTATGATGAGCATCATATTGAATATAATTCATTTGAGACTTCTTTAAACTCTGATATCATAGTCACCGTTTGAAACAGTTTTTAAATTTCACTAATATCAATTTCAGAATCAGTTGCATGTAAGCAAAGAGCAGTGATATGTACACAGATCTAACACTATAGTGGAGTCAGATTCAGCTTGTTGCTGTGTAGCAGTAGAAGCTCCTTGACATATTGTGTTTAGCTTAGCAAAATGATTAAATTACGAGTACTATCTATGATGAGTTTTTGTGTTAAGGCTATTTCCCAACAATTGTTGAAATGGTTGGTTTCTTTACAGCAGGCCAAATGTAAAAATAAATTTTACATTCCATGCTAAAGAAGCACTGGCTATAACACAAAAATAGTATTTATTAAATAGTTTAGTAACTCAATAACATTGACACTTTAATGCTCTTATTTATCATCGCCATCAAACAATGAGTATCCAAGATCTTAAGTCAAATTCAATATTCAAATTCTATTTGAGGGGGAGAAAATCAATATTATGGATGGTCTACGATTAGTAATGATGGTCATGAACCTATAGGCCTAATAAACTTATGGGCTGGCTAAGTGAACGTTTTTGATAACACGGTAAATAGTAAAATCCATGGTAAACACGTTGCTATCATAAAATTAATGAATTTTCTTTGTTGTTAAGCTATTTTTGAGAATACATGTTTTTATTTTATTAAAACTTTGAGCTTGTTCCATTTACAATCCATAATCACAAACAGCTATAAAAGAAATCTCTTCCACTCAGCCACAGGTTTTGTTTCGCACCATAACCATGACACCATTAATTTAGCCTACTATAGAATGAACCATAAATCGAGACTATCAGGATTCATGCAGTTTTATTATTTAAACATTATATTTTCTTAGAATGAAGCATCTCCTTTTAAAGAAAGCTTTAACAAGATTATACATTGGAAAATAATAAAGCTAGAAATTGATATAGTAGTTGAATTAGATCTTCGTTCTCCTTTTATTAAACGGAAAAAATCAACACTTCGCATCTTACAGAAGTAATCTTAGAGCAGTGGGATTTGGAAGAATTTTATTTTATTCACCATCGTAGGGTGTAATTATGTGTAATTGAGTACATCAGCAAATATGTTTTTTTCATCACAGCACTAGGCATGAACATAAGCAGTTTTGAATAAATGTAGAATGTATACACAAGATAAGATGTATACACAATAAGATTGTTGTTGTTGTAATTTCATACACACATTTAAACCAAATAAGGTTATATTAAACGATGTACTTGGTTTCCAATTATAGTATAGCACTGGCATATCTTAATTTTATCCAAGTTGTACATTGGTACAAAACCAACTTGAAGACTACCTAGTTTCAAAGTGGTTATGATAGTTTTATAATTTTTCCACAATGTAGTAAAAAAGTTCATGTATTTAAGCGGTAACTTCAATGTAACAATTATTTTTACTATTTTTGCATTGAGCTATCATTGTTTTTTTTTTCATAATCCTGTTATATAAACCGAGGGAATATTATTACTGTACCTAGTATAGCCAATCCTTTTATGTTAGAGTATTTTTTATTTTTTTTTGTTGATATTTTTTATAAAACACTACAATCACAAAGTGTTTGGTTTTTACTTAATGCATTGTGTGATTGCAGTTTATTTTGAATACACTATATGAATCGTCACTGTTACATAGATTTCTATTGTATTTTAAAATGATCTATTACACATAATAAATGTTAGATTAGATGGACAGTTCTAGATTCTAGAAAGAAGACAATAGCTATCAGGTGCAAAAGGCAGATAGGTGAGATGGCTATACAACATATCAATCTTGTCTTCTAAAATACCCAAATTCCACATTCAAGCCACTCCAGTCTATTCATGCGAGTTACAGCTTAAAATTCTACCAAGGTACCTAATTGATTTTGTAGAGTTTAAAACATTATATGTTTCTTTGTTTTATATTACAGTATGCCTTTTGTATATAAAATTTAAAGTCACTTCATAATATAGATAATTTTATGTCATTGCATATTTTGTTGTCTAGAACTTTATTTTTTAACTTGACATTTTACCTAATAATATTACAAATATATTATGTTCTCTAGAACACAAACTAGTTGGGTGGTTCAATATCAATGAACACTTTGGACGATCATAATAATTTTGGCTGGTTCATGTGAAAACATTTTTATGTAGGTATAGTTCTTCGACTTGAGTCTTGAATCAAACAGTATCTTATAAATTGACTTCAATGAATTAAAAGAAAATATTAAGACATTATTTATATGAGTTCACTGTGTGACAGAAACCGATTTCACAAGTTGTTTGAGAGCCTAATTTAAAAGCTCACAGTTAATTCACTTATGCTGTAGTCAGCAGTTTTAATATTAAATATACACCTTATTACCAAAGCAACTAAAAGATATATTCGGTTGATAGATTGATCTTGATGTTCTTGTCTGCAGATAAGATGGTTAGCCAAATGACCCACTCAGTCCCCAAGTATAGGGTGATCTCTAAGGTACAAACAACTCTTACTGTTAACAGATCATGTTGAGTTTTGAGCGTTATCAGAGGAGTTTCTGTATTACAAAAGAGCCCCATATTGCACAAGCTTCTTTGATCAGGCTACTACAACTGTCAGGTGGTATTTTATTAATGAAAAAAGAGTTGACAAATCATGTAAGACTTAAGCGTAGTCATTAATAACTTGAACAAAATGAACAGTTTTTGTAGAAATTTTCTAGTTGTCATCGAGAATCAATCAATTAATTATTCAGCTCTCAATATCGGATAAAGAAAAATCAATGAAATGATTCAAAATAAGACTGAAAATGAGTCTGTTGATGAGAATCATGCAGTCTAGACCTTGTAGGCCAGGACATGCAGCTACTCTACTCAACATGATGTTGATAGTTTCAAGCGTTTTGGTTTGTGCAATCCGTTTTGTTTAAGCATCAAACTCGTTTATTTCTACATCGGATAACAATTATAAATTATAAAATTACATATCAACAGAAACATTTTGCAGCAAATTTTTTATTAAGGCCTAGTTTCGCGAAGCCAGAAACTTTTGAATAGTGCAAAACAAAACACAGTTCAAACGCAGCCACACAATCTACAAAATGCAATTAGGGCGCAAACCACTGACCTTAACATGTCGACTGCGCCCTCATAATGGTTGAATGCTATTCTTAATCTGGTGGAGCTGTCACTTCATGATATTGAATGAACAATTTTAATTACTCAAATATTTGCTTAAAAAATGAATTCTGGTAGAGTTAGACAAACATGACAATTAACTATGAAATTCTACAGATACAAATTATGGTATAATACGAGCAACTTCTTTCCAGCTTTGGTTAAAGAAATTCACATGTCTTCTCTACATTTTAAACTCTGCTTGGACCCAAAAAAATATTCTTTAGCAGAGTTGAAACTATGTACACTAGTGTATCTGTTCATGAGAATTTGTTTTATTGAAAAAAATAAAATTATTATTTCTTATTGGGGTTTTTTTCTTCTTAGTCATATGTTGGGTCTTTACAAAACAATGCCACTGATTGTGGTCTTATATCATCTCTATTCAGTATATTGAAGAATCTAATCAGGCTTTTTACAAAATCGTGGATTTGGCTTCATATTAATGCAGATTATTGATTATTCGCTAGGAAAAAGTATTCCATTGCAAAGAACATTACTATTTACATTTGCAAATGTTATTAGGACATTCATTATCAAAGGGAACTCATCATATAATTAATTTAAGGGCTACTCTTAGGAATCATTAATGGGAATAGCAAGACCCTCCATAGGGGCGAAGGCTGGCAACTCCGACCTTCAGATGTGATGACTATACTGTATGTTAAATGGTAAACATAAAACCGAAATTGTCAAAATATTTATAAAACTCAAATAAAAGTAATATACTTAGTTTTAAATGATTTTAAGTTATACCAGATAGAGAATAGCATTCATCCATAAAAATATCAATCAAGAATACAACTGCACTGCATTGGACTTAAGATAACGGTTAGTTAGTGGTAGAGGAGATATTTCGCTTACCATCTTGATGTCGCTAATAGTAGCTATGCTCCTTACAAAGAGGTTAACCCGCACGATGGCCGGACCATCTAATAAACAGTGGCTGCGTTTGACATTTTACACTTACACAGGGACATTTATTTTTTGTCCTTTATAAAACTAAAAATGCATACAGTATTTTACAAATAAAAACTAATTGTTTCTGAAAAAAAAACTCAGCTAATAGAAACTTTGGTCACTGATAACAAACTCAAAGTCAAAGATAATCTGTTTGAAAGAATTCTTTTGATAAAGAGGTAAATGGTGGGATACTGTGGACTCATTAAACTTATAAACAAATTTAAACTTTACAAAATCTCGATAAATTTGAACTTTATTGAACTCTATGCACAGACTATTAAATTGTATAATTACAGTTTAAATATTTTCAAATACTTAAAAGATGTCTTCCATTATATCAAAATTGTACGACGTTGTTCTGTTGACTGATGTTCAATTAAGGACAAACTAAAAGTATTCATTTATAGTGTAGAAAATTGTATTACTTCACTCATATAGTTTTGAAACATAAAATTTACCTACCAAGTTAATGTACAGAGACAAAATGTGACCATAGTGTAGCTTACAGAAGATTTACTTTGGGAAATTCATAGTATAGATCTTTAGAAGGTAAGTCTAACATTTTAATATTGTTTAAATACATTTTAATTAATGATAAATTTATGTAATTGAGACCATAGTGCTTTAGTTTAGAGTGAACATCAGCATCACCAAAGAACCTCAAATACCATGTATGGATATAATTAAAGATACTCCGATGTAATAAAACTGTCAAACATTCATTGAGCATAGTAAACTTAAATAAACCATTAGTTTTTCAAAGTTTTTCAAAAGAGATTTTAGTTTACAACCTAAGACTTTCAAAATACATTTGGAGACGATGAAAATGTTAGTAAGCCTCTGATTTGTTTATGTGCCAAAGCAACGGTAGTCTACTGTCTGACCGTCAAGATTTTAGTTTAAGTTTGGATTTCAAAACGTAACATCTCAGTACCCCTTATCACATGTCAAGTTTTGGTCATTGTGATCCTTGCACAGCTTGATACTGTGGAGCTGTTAGCCTTTCACTTGGACCAATACCGATACAACTGTTAAAGAAATTAATATTTTAAACAAATAAATTAGATCATTTTGTATATGGCTGAACAGTGAACAGACTGGGTGGTGTATTATTTATTTATATTGCATATTCAAAATAAAAAAAAAAGAATAATTGGCAAAATTGTGAACAATTTATATATTTAATACACAGTTGTAAATCTGTTTTCTCAGTGACTACTGGACCGATCTAACAGATTTATGTATCAAATTAAAGATGATAATGCGTGATTTGCCGAATTTCCTTAGAATTTATGGTTTTTCTAAGGGCTACGACCTACGGGAAACAGACAGAGGAGCGCAAGTCATAAAACTGTCAACCCCTCGGCAGAAGAATTCGTCAGGGTAGGACCAAGGAGCGCAGAAGTACCTTGCGCGCTCTTCGGTCCTACCCGTGCAAGGAAATAATCCCCTTCTTACAAGGGTTGAACAAGACAATGCTTGGGTCGACCCTGCGAGATCCCATTAGTGGCGCCTCACTGACGACACCATCGATTCAGGCATATTTTTATAGTGGAACTTATTACCAAACTAGTGTTGTATCGACAAATAACCATGACGTACACTTTTACTTTTAAAAATCCAGTGTTGCTTAGCAGCTTTCTTTAAAACGGTGTAAATTCAAATTGTAATATAAAAACTGATCCTTAAGTTGAATGTTGAACCACACTCAGATTGTAAACAAGAGACCGAAACATTTTTTCAAATGGATTTTGAATAGGTTACTTTTTTATAACTGAACTTGATAAGGGTAGGCGACTCGAGTCTTCATGGCATGGATCTAAAATCAATTAATGTAATTATTGTAAATTAGTAAGTTTATTCACTTTTAATAACTTCCTAAAACAAACAAAATCTTTGAAAAGTAAAGGGGTATCACGTTATTAGTTTTACCTATCAAATGATTTAAACCTTGTTTAAAAATGTGCAATGGGTCCACTCGTTATATACCCTTTTTTATGCAGGAATGGTTTGTGAACACCTCAACTAAACTTGAATCTATGAATACAGTTGCTTTCAACATGTACCCTTAATTGATAAGAAAATTAAACTGAATTTTACATCATAGTTTTATAAAATTGTCTTTAAATAAATTCAACGGACAGAAACCATCTCTTCTTTATGATGTTTAGAACATTGCCCTTCCATTTAAAGTATTTCATTATTCCATAAATAAATAAATAGAAAAAGGTAATGAATATTATAAGTGCAAATACGGTACTGTATTTAAGTTAATTTTAACTAAGTTTAATCTAAGTTTAATTTAATGCTTAATTTAACTTCTTGAAAACATAACCAACCTATGTCATATTATTTACAAAATTCAATATTATAAACAAAATAATATACTTTGGAAATAGCCAAGTAAATTTTTATTAAATAAATTTGTGACTTAATTAAAGTAAAGTTAGGAATAATCATAGAAACTTAAGGAGTAAAGGTTTTCATTAGATACACTTTTTGTCGTCAATGGACTAGCGTACTGTTGTTAAAAAAGTAAACAAAACAAAACAATCGATTTACTTCCAGGTATTTCCAACAATATATTACTATAACAATATACTTTCAGAAAAACCTAACTAATTCTTATACAAAAAGTATTTTTAAATTAAACAAAGCCTATGTAAACAACACTACTTTTTTAAGTAAATTTAACCAGCCAGACACATTGTCATTTGGCAAAAATCACTTTCAGCTAAGCCGGAAATACACAACATAATATTTTGTTCTTAAGAATTAGTTTCCAGACTGGTTGCTCCTAAATAGTACGGACGTCCAGTAGTATTGAGTCATTAAATATTCTAAGTCAACCACGAGAGAAAATTTCAGGTGTTTCCGTAGGACGAATGGGGAATCAAGGGTCGAGGATCAAGACAAATTACGTAGAACCATGCATGTTTATAAGCATTAGTCTTCATGCCTTCAAAGCTTTTTTAAAATTTTACAAACTATACCTGTGAAACAAACTACTATACGGTACCGAATTTAATAATTATTCTGAAACGCAGAGAGAAGTTTAACTGTCACACATTAAATAACATGATCTAATATGATTTTAATCAGATTAAAATAATGAAAATTTAGTCCCGTACTGTTTAGTGATAACAATTTAGTCTTAAAAGACTTTTGCAATACTTACGACAGCTAGCCTGGCCATACTACTGGACCAAATTACACGCGAATGGTACCAAATGAAAGATATTTTCCTGTAGATGGGCAGAATCCTTTTATAAATTACAATAGGCTCATAAATAAACACGAAAAATGAATTTGAAATTAAAAAAAATTAACATGGGCCTTATGGGTTGCTATGCTGGTGACAAAATAACAACAAAATATAAACAAAAAATCCAAACAAATTCTAATCACATGTTTTATTTACAGTGTGGGGTGAAAATAGAGAAGTCTGTAAATACATATTTTTGTTCGAGTTTTCAACCACTGGACGATTTCTATTTTACTATATTAACTGTTTTACAGAGTTGTTCAAAGAAGGAATTGTCTGTGGCAGTTAGATTAATGTATCTGCAATACTTAAATGCTATGGGAAGGCAGGGCAACAGGTCCACGACGTTGGAAGTGGTAAAATCAAAAAAACCACACATACCAGATAAGGCATAATTCATTGCGGAGTGTGAAAACCGTTTGTGGCAGTTGGATTAATGTATCTGCAATACTTAAATATTCTATCGGAAGGAAGGGAAACAGGTCCACAACGTTGAAAGTGGTAACAGTTTTTTGAAATAAAAAAATTCCAAAAAAATAGATTTTTGAAAATATTTGCAAATTTTCAAAAATCAATTTTTTTGGAAATTTTTATTGTTTGAAATTTTTTAATAACATTACAGTAAATGTCAAGTGGCACATCATTTTATAGGATTTTTAATTCTTAACAACTTTGTAATTTACACTTACTTCGTATCTCTTTTAGTTTTTGTGAAAATAACAAAAACCTAATTAAATTTTCCTATATCATATGCATGTTATTTGGGTTTAACACTCAATGAAATGGGGCCGTTAGTGTTAAACCCAAATTTAAAAAAATTGAGAAGTCTGTACATTACATATTTTTGGTCGAGTTTTTGACCTCTGGACGACCTCTAGTTTGTATTAAACTGCACTTAGAAAAATATGTGATTGTCTGCATTAAAAATCGGACGAATAACGTGGGACGATCACAAATTGTTTTTAATATAACTACAAATACATAATACAGTATCTTGCATTATCTCTGTTAAATTATTTGTATTTTCAAAACTACTCCTTACATTTCCACTTCTACAGTGAAGAGCGACTAATGGGATTTACTCACAGGGTCAACCCAGCCATTGTAACTTACAACCCTTATAAGTAAGTGATTAGCTCTTTGCACGGGTAGGACTGAGGAGCGCAAGTTACCTCTGCACTCCTCGGTCCTACTCTGACCAAATTTAATTTATGGTCTCTCATTAGAGCAGATTGTGCGCTCCTTGGTCCGCAAATCACGACCTACAGCCCTTTAAAGGTAGAGTCAATATAATTATTATTGACGAATATAAAATTCAGTTATAATTACAAATCATTCGTCAGATGTTACATGTTTGTCAGCTGTGAGACATTTGTTATTATTTGTATAACCTCACCAAGTATGTAATTATTAATCTAGGAGTTCCTGTTTAGGAGCACACGATTCTGAAGAAGAAAAAGTTTATTTGTTAACTTTTTATACAACAATATTTTTACAACCAAACCGAATAATGTGTTAGTTTTCCTGCGAAGTGATTTGAAGGAAAGTGATAATTTATTTTTAGTTTCAGTATGGAACGTGAAATAATGCCCATAGTAGGGGACGGAAACTGTTTGTTACGATCAATATAAAATTTTTGCTCTACGGTCACCAGCACAATTATAAGGAAATCCGCTTGCAAGTTGTACTAAAAATTGCTAATGA